CAGGGCTGTGTGATTCATTAGCACATGTAGTAACTGGGAAGCCACGACAGCTCACAATTGTCGGTTGCTTATACAAAGTGGTTCTAGCCATCTTAGGAGAATCTCAAATTTCAGAGATTTTATTTTTAACAGGGACCATACTGCAGCAAAAACATGGTTACTACTGTTGAAGCTTCAGATCAGATTTGCTGAGTTTGCCCATAAAAATGACATGTTTCCATATACAGACTCATGAACATATTCAGACTTCTGTGTTTAAGCTTTCCTCTCCTGGCCATGAACCTTTCAATCTCTTAAGTTTGCTGCCTCTGTTCTAACCAAATTTTGTGTTGGGCCATCCTGAGCCAAACCCTATGAGAAGTCCCAGAAAGACTCTTCTTGTTCCCTGTAGTATCTCTCTATCAATCAGGCTTCTAATGAGTACAGATGCCATTCTTCAGTGTAGTAGAGAGCTATACTTTTAAGTATTTTTTAAAAGCTCTGGTTGCAAAAAGACATTTTCATTCATCTATGTGACAAGTTAGGGGAGGAAGAAATTCCTCTAGCAAAATTTTTCTTCCTTTCATCTGATTTACTTGTCTAAAACATTCCTACACCCTTCCTTGATGCTTACCAGTTAATGCTAACTAGCCAGAGAAACGTGAAACTTTTTACAATCTCTTCTTAGTGTTCACTACAAACTATAGCTCAGATTAAAACTGGGGTTTGAGTAGTAATTAATTAAATGTCTTAGCCAGCAATGGAATCGTTTGAGAGTTCAAAGACAGCCATTTAAGTTCTACATTTATCAGAAAAAGATGCTTTTAAATTTACTTAAGACATCTTAGAATCCTGAAGTAGTTTAAGTCCAAGCTTTGTACTGATGTGTAAATGCAGTATGAAAAGGAACAGTCTCCAAGAAATGTAAATTGTTCAGAATTGGAAAAAACAAAACAAAACCCCAACAAACTCCTGAATATTGTAGAGCTGTTGTATCCAATCCAAAGTCTGATGGAAAGAAGCACCTGAGTGCTCTAGTTTGCATACTTAATAGGTAAACAGCAAACAAAGATCATAAGCAACTGAAACCCCATCCTCTGCTGAAAGTTGTTTTCATATTTATATCCAATGGTGCTAATTCTTAACACCATTAAAAATACATTGAGGAATTATTTCTGCACATTTCCCAATTTGTGTGTAGAGATACTGTACAGATGTTTAATTAAAAAAACAACTTTCTAAAAGTTGTTTTATTTGTTTCAAATGGAAGCATAAAGAGGGGAGATGGAACAATTCTTGAGATTTATAATCCACTTATGTTACTGTAGGTTTGTTGTTTGTATTTAATTTTCTGGGTTTTTTCCCAAACGAAATGGCATAATTTTAAGTAGAGATGCTACTGGTAAGCAGAATTCACGTCTCTTCTTCAGAACGGAAGCAGTACGGTTCACAGTTGGGAGACCCCCAAATGGTTTGTGGTTGCTCAGCATTCCAGGCAACATGCAGAATAAATTTGATAATTTTGTATTAGTGGAAGAAGTACTGGGCAGGGTTACCTCTGAACCTTACAGAGCGCACATGTGCAAGACCCTCAGGTCAGTAGTCCACTGGCAGTCTGCCCATCTTCTTGTCTGTACACCTGTTGCTATGCTGGGATGGCACTGTGTGATAGTACAAGGAGGGCTAATGGAGGGAAATGCACAAAGGTTTTCCATTGCTTCCATGGCCGTACTTGAGAATTTGACAGATTTATTTGACAAACTTAACATTTCTGTATGGCAAACCAAATCTGCCTGCTAGAATGTTTCATCTGGTGTGAGGTATTTATGGCTGATTAGCATGTTTGAGAGATTTACAGCACTGTGCCTAGTTTGGGTAACAGAAAAGTCAGACAGGGAGACTTGTTAATGGTTCAAGTGTACTAGTCCTGTATTTACTTAACTGCGTTCCAGTTCAGACCTGTAACCTCTTCAAGTCTGTTTTGTGTCAGGATATTCAACTATTCAAAACAAAGCAGTCTTGTATTGTTTTCTAGTTTTTTAAACTCAAAACTAAGCACACAGAAAAGACAAAAAAATCACCTAATAGTTATTCTTAGTAGGTTGTTTTTTTTAATTTTTACTATTTATTGTGGTAACTGTATTAAGTAATTCCACATGAAGTGCCAAGTGTGCTTCATTGTCCTAGCAGTAGTGACAGCTTATGAGAAATCACAGCATGAGATTGAGAAACTGTCAATTGGCTGTATTTTCCTTAGATATGGTATTTTTTTCATAAATGTTGTTTTTAAATATCTGTACACAGATATTCAACCTCATGCATAGCAGCTCTTTTCACCATGGGATTTACACATCATAAACTTAAGCAAACTTTTAACCGTTTGCCCATAGAGAAATTCTGCAACAAGGGGATTTGCTTTCTTTTTTCCCTAGGCTGATGACTTGTTCTGAAAAGGAGTATTTTGGTCTTTTGCATATGCTGTTTTTAAAATCAGCGTCAGACAAGTAATAGTACCTAATCCTTAAAAAGTAAAAAGTTGTCCTTTAATTATTAGCTAAAATCTATTAAACCTATCATATAACCTCCAGTATATAAGTATTTTAACTGATGGAAACTTGGCAGTATGTCCCAAGGCTTTTTCCAACCAGACCACTTTTCTTGCCATTGTAAACCGATGAATTCATTGCCGTCATGGGTACAATTTCTGAATAATGCTTTTTCTAAAATAGTATTGCCTAGAAAAGCTTCCTAGTTCGGAAGCTTCATGATCATGATGCTATTTTAAGTATATTTTGAAAACGTGTGGTCGAGTTGATGTTGAAATACATTGGGCTCTCCGTGGCTCTTTTGATTCTGGAACGGCCACAGATGTAGACGAAACTATTGGTTACCTTTGACAAAAATCTGCCTGTTCCTAAATTAGACGAAACATTGGTTACCTTTGACAAAAATCTGCCTGTTCCTAAATTGTAATGGTCTAATTTTCTTATTATCAGACACTTCTCAAACTACGGGTAGGAAAAGTTATTCAGAAACTTCTGCATAATATAAGTGTTTTAGTAAGTGAGCATTAAATCTTTTGAAAGTAGAACCACTCACTTTACTTTCTTGGCTTGGTGGACAGTAGAAATATTTACTCCTAAAGCTTTTCATAAGAAACAGAATTAATTGTGTTCATATTCAGCACTGGGTAAGAGCCCAGTAGCCATACTCTACCTCAGGTTGGTCTAACCTGTGTGATGTGTGTGGGAGTTGGACAAACAAGTCCAATAAAGGATCATAAGAATGTGCCTCCCACGGCTTCATTTCTTCTCTTTGATCTGTAATGTCAAGGAGAGCTTTAAAAAGCCCTGACAGGCAGAGGTAGGAAAAAGTGGTTTGGATAAAATAAGCTGGATTCAAATAAACTCTTGAGCTTTTAAAATGTTCCAGAGGGGAATCGCTGTATTCAGTGTTCTGTGGTTTTATCCATTGACAGTGTTGGTAGTACTGAAATAACATGGAAGAGATTATTCACACAGTAGAATTTTTAACTCAAATGGATTTTTTACTTTCTGATGGTATATAAAAATCTGCTCAAGTTTGTGTGGTTTTTTTTCTGGGAAGCAAAAAGAGATTTTTTTCAACAACTTTAATTACCCATTTTGTATGTATTTTGTGTTTGTTATTGTTGAGTATATATTTTATGTGATTCCTGTTAGCAGTAAAGCATAATATCTAAAATATTACATATGTGATAAAACATGCAGAGGTATGTACATAGGAGACAATTCTAAGGCTGAGATTTTAGTCTCTAACTTCTGATTCTTTTGACTTTCTGCTGTATGTTTTGCATTCATTTTTTTGTTGATTATTGAAAAGAAATAATTAAGATGGGCTGGTGGCTGCAGCATGAAAGAAAATCAATATATCAGATTAAAAAATACAGGATGTGTGCATCGAGATAGCAAGAAGCAGCAGGGTTCATGGATGCCAGTAACCATTTTGGGATCAAAAGCAATATAGTCACTTCAGTGAAGCCCTCCACTTGAGTTCATTAGCCCTGTGAGAAGGTAAAACTTGGCTCACCCAGTTCTTCTGTGCATAGCTGATGTCAGTGAAGCATGCTAAGTTCTGCTTATGCAACTGGAAGCAGGAATATTGTCTGTTCTCAACACCCGGCCTTAGTAAACTTAGTATATGCATTTTCTTGCAAAATTGTTGTCTTTTCTAAAGATGTTCTAAACAGAAAGAAAACTTCTAGCCCATATTTGTTACGAATGGTTATTCATAAACTTTAGTTGAGTATCTCAGAGATCAGAAATAAAGTTAGGTTCTTCCCATCATTGATGAGGAAGGAGTTATATTCTGATTTTTAAGGGATTATGGCCTTGCTTATTAAAATTGAAATGTGAAATGCATACCAGATCCTTCACACGTGTAGAAATTTCATAGTCTAACATTTCCTTGTGCATGCCTTTGTGAAGAGGCTTTACATATATTCCAAGGAATGCAGCTCTGATTGAAAGCCTGTTTTTTCCTTGCACCACCAAGAAAAGGAGTAAATGATTGCTCATAGTGTAGTTAGACCATCACGTAGAAATGGATGAACTGGTAATTGCATGATATATGTTTAAGGCAAGTATTGCGGGTAGGTTCCTACCATTGCTCTGAATGGAATGCATGGCAGCTGCCTCTCAAATTTCTAGCACTGTAATAATGTAATTCTTCAAATTAGAATGAAGAGTTTGTGGAGCCATAAACATGCATTCAAAACAGCATAAAAAGACATAACTGTATTTGATCTTGAGCTATGAATGGCATATTATATTTCCATCAAGAAAACTGTTATAAATTGAAATGTAAAATGAAAGAAGATAATGCCATTGGTTGATGCTGTATTTGTAGAGCCAATTTAGTTTTACAGAAACAATACCATTAGGAGTAGCAGTACTTCGGTCATGTGGTACGACACCAGTCAAAGCCCTTATATAACGCCTTGTCCTTTTCTCTCCCTTTCCTTGTTACTTATCTCTCCACAGTGCTGCATACCCAAGGTCCCATTGATGGCAGTTTGTATGCAAAAGTGAGAAAGAAGAGCTCCTCAGACAGCAGCATCCCTGGTGTTGCTCAGGGTGTTCCCGTGGTTGGCAGTCCTGATCACAGTGATCATACCCTGTCTGTCAGCAGTGATTCAGGACACTCAACAGCTTCCATCAGGACAGACAAGACTGAGGAGCGCCTTGTGCCAGGAGTCAAACGGGGTCTGAGCCCACAAGAGAAGGCAGAACTGGACCAGCTACTTAGTGGCTTTGGTCTGGAGGATTCTGTCAACACCACCAAGGATATGACTGATGCCCGAAGCAAGTACAGTGGGACTCGCCACATAGTGCCAGCTCAAATTCACGTGAATGGAGACACCAAACTGAAGGACAGGGAGACTGATATTCTGGATGATGAAATGCCTAATCATGACCTTCACAGCGTGGACAGCATTGGGACTTTGTCTTCCTCAGAAGGGCAGCACTCCACGCACCTAGGGAACTTTAGTTGCCATAAGAGCAGTCAGAACTCACTTCTTTCGGATGGCTTTGGAAGTAACACTGGGGAAGAGCATCACAATGCTTTTGCCCCAGACCTCGGAATTGGTGTGGATCCCCTCTATGAGAGAGCATTTGGAAGCACTGAGCCGAAGTCAACTCAGCAATTGCAACGGAATCCTTCTGTCTCACCCCAGCCTCAAGCCTATGGCCCAAGTAACTACTCTACTCAGACCTGGGTACGCCAGCAGCAGATGGTCACTGCTCACCAATATGGTTTTGCCTCAGAGAATGAAATTAGGGTTGGCATTCATAACACTGTGGAGAATTCGGGCAGTGTCCAGAGCCAGTCCCGAGTCCCAGACACCCCGACACGTGGCTCCAGCAGCAGAGATGCTGTGCAGAGGGGGCTAGGAAGCATGCCAGGTGCTGCTGAAGCGGCAGAACATGCCAGTGTTGAGAGTTTTAAGTCAAGGCCAGTGCCTCAGAGGGACACAAATGGCCTGGATCTAGGACGGAATGCAGGGGACTTGCCAGCTTCTCCAACTTTGGATATTGATCAGTCCATTGAACAACTGAACAGGCTGATCTTGGAGTTAGACCCTACATTTGAACCTATCCCGACTCGCATTAACACTGTCACCAGGGACAGAAATCAAGTAAATGGCTTCACCAGTCTTGATGTAGACATGGAAGGGCTTGGCAGGAGTCCTGGCTTCCATGACAAATTAGAGGTCACAAACAGGAATCCCTCCTGGCATGGTAAGCTGTTGTAATACTTTCTGAATATAATGCTTTTCCTAGCACTTGTGTGTTCTTGATATGGTACAGCAGGATCTCAGGTCATGACATCTTTCAGGGTGAGTATCAAGGGATTATTTCTGATACCCTCTTTACATAACCATCCAAGAAATTACGGAATCAAACTGATGTAAGATAAGTGAGTTTTTCAGGTACTTGGTTTTTGCTTGAAAAAAGTACTGTTCAGCAAATTCTTACCCATTACAGATCATCAGTTGGGATTTTTTGCTGCTGTAACTTTAAGTGACAAGGGAGCAGAATTCCTACAGTTCCTACATTGAGACATTTTTAGAAGGCATCTGTAGTGAAATGGTTTATGATTTATGATTATATGCTTTTTATTATGATGATTTTTTATGATTTCCACTTAAAGTAGGAGAAAAAGCTCCAACAATGTTGTCTTCAAATTTAGTGTAATGCTGCTGGCATTAAATTTCTATGCAGTATTTTCATAAATAATGTAAATTTTGCCAGTAAAGTATTTAAAAACATACTCTTTCTGAAGTTTTTTTCTGTTTAAAAATTCAGAAGTCGCAGTGCTTGCTTGTTATCTCTGGCTCTGATATGATCGCAGAAATCAACTCGTGGAATTAAATATGCAACACTTGCTGACTATATTGCCTAAGTAATGCTACTAGAACTAGCAGCTTTGCAAAAGGATGAGTAGCCTGTCTCTGCTTAAGTCCACTGAAACCTTTCATTAATGCTGTAGCTAGAATTTGTGACAAACAAGCTCTTGCTGGTCTTGCTGTCATGTTTGAAAATTCTGTGTGGTCTAATTCCTCTGGCAGAACATATCCTCTTCCCTTCCTTCCCTCCCTTCCCTCTTCCTCTTCTCCCTCTTCCTACCTCCAGTCTTGGTGCAATGAAAGACTTGCTTGTGTCTCCAGGATTTGATTCAGTATTAGCCAACATGCCAGAACATGTGTCCGTGGCCTCATTGGACACAAATGAGCTGCTTCAGCTCAAGCTCAGTTGGATATGCCAAACCATTCGATGATGACTGTGGCTAACTAGTGTGTGGTTTCCATTAATGTGCAGGCCTATGTGATCAAGGATGGTGATTCTTGTAGAGAAGGTGAAATCACAATTTTATGTTTAGGAGGGTAACTGAGGACTAAAGAAGTCCAGAAATCCATGATGAATACGTGAGCTGCTGCACTGTCTCTTCATTTTTAATACACGGTATGCATTTTGTGGCTCTTACAGGATTAAATTCATTAGTTTGTAATTCTCTTGAATCTTCCCAAATGATTAGCTGATGGACAAATTGAAAATGAGATTTTCCCAGCAGGAGAGAACTCTTCTTTTTGGTATACAGTAAAGCTAGTGAATGAGATAAAAGGGTCGTTTAGAATAAGCCACCTGTTACAATTCTGTGTTTAAAGATACAAATCTGAAAAGAGATGTTTGAATTTTTCTCACAGATTCTGGTCGTCTCCCAAAGGAAGTAGGAGTCGCTGTCAATTCCCTTCCATTTGTAAAGTCAGGTAAAGCAGGTAAACTTCCTGCCCCCTAATAAAGACTGGTGAGAATACGAGTCCTTGGGGCATGTTCTGGAAGAGGATTTGTTTTAAAGATAGCGATGAATTTGGAATTAAATATGAATATACAGACAGCATTTAGAATCCTGGGTAATTTTCGGGGGGCAACAGGGCGTAGTACGAAAGAGGAAAGAGTTTAGGAGTCAGGAAGCTCCTTCGCTTTCTGTCATGCCCTTGCCTTTGGCAAGGCATTTCTCTCTCCTTCATCAGTCTGAGTGAGGGAAAAAGGAGGGTTAATGTTTTTTCCATTTGTTTGGAAAAACAAATTTCCATTGTCTCAGAAATACTGAACATCCTTACAGGATGTTTACATCATACTGAGCTTCAAACATAACCTTATGCATACTGATTCCTAATCTACTTCCAATTCAAGTCAATAGAAGACCTCTTCAATGGATTTAATTAGACATAGAGTATATGTCTCTGAAAGCAAGGTGGTGAGCACAGTTTGTATGCTGGAAGTGGTATGTAAGTGCTAACTGCTATCCACAGCAAATCTGTTTCTGACATTTGACAAATTTGACAAATTCTGACATTGAATTTTTTCCCTATACCCTCTTATCTCTGCTCCAAAGCAACAACCACATTCCTACTGAAATCACAGAATCAGAGTGGTTGAGGTTGAAAAGGATCTCTGAAGATCATCTGGTCCAACCCCCCTGCTCAGGCAGGGCCACCTAGAGCCAGTTGCCCAGGACCATGTCCAGATGGCTTTTGATTATCTCCAAGGAGGGAGACTCCACAACCTCCCTGGGCAACTCATGCCAGTGCTTGGTCACCCTCACCGTAAAAAAGCATTTCCTGATGTTCAGAGGGAACCTCCTGTGTTTCAGTTTGTGCCCATGGCCTCTGGTCGTGTCACTGGGCACCATGGAAAAGAGCCTGGCTCCGTCCTCTTTGCACTCTCCCCTCAGGCATTTATTCACATTGATGAGATCCCCAACACACTTTCATTTAATCAAGAACTTACAGGAAGAGTGCCATCCAGTATTTTGTGGACAGTTCTGCACTCTGCCAAATCATGAGTCCTTCTGCATGGTGTTTTATTTCAGCATACTAGCCATACCTTGTCTGGCAAAAAGGCTAATTATTTAAGGGACAGTCAGGGAGAGAATCAACGGGTATTTGGGTCTTCAAGTCTTTTCTTAAATTTTTGCTTGGAGGAAGTACTTACTCCATTCACACTTTTACTGTCCTGAAGTCAGATTCTGTTGGAAGTTCTCATAAAGCCTTTCATTAACATTAGAGACTTAAGGAGGAAGGTGGCAAGTAAAGGGTTACCCTTGCATTTTTAGGGTCCAAAATAAATTAATGAACTGTATCTGGAGTTTAAGCACTGCAGAGAGCCTAATATGTGTGGAATCCAGGATATAGGATGCAAGACTGGAGGCTTGTGTTGGCCTCTAGTCTTGGCTTATGTCATCAAGATTTATGGGCCTCATTCTAGTCATATTTATAGTGACTTAGGATATGTATGTTTAGGCAAATTTCCTTTGAAAGTTTAATGCTTAAAGTGCTTTCTCTTCATTTTACCTTCTATTTTTCAGGGCCTTCTGCTGCCAGTGTTGTTTAGGTTGTTTAGTATCTTCTAGCCTTAGTAGTCTCTTTGAAACAGGGTGCTAGTATAAAACTGTGTTGGATATTCTCAGCTGAAATCTGTTTGTGGTGATCCTTGTTGAGAGGTTATAGTTAATTTCATCAAAGGCAGCAAAACTGAATGGGTGCTTTTCCTTTCCTCCCGCTCCTAATTTGGTGGGGAGTGGGGAGGCGTTATTAGTTTACGTTTCTGGGGATGTAAGCTAAAGTACCACCATTTTCAACAACTGCTGCTTCAGAGGATGCCATCTTCTGGTAGAAGAGGCAGAGACTAGGAATAGTAGGGATTTAGATGTTTTAATTTAGTCCAGGCCTTTAGGCAGCTGAGTGCATTTGAGCGCCCTGAAGTTTAAAGACCTCTGCTTGTGGTTAATGTAGGTAGTGTCTTGAGGAGTTTCCCTTGTGTAACGATCATGTGCCTTGCTCTTGAGTGATAAGCAGCAATTTTAGATCTGTGTTGAGTCTCTTGCCTGCCCTTTGAACCCTTTGAGTATATTCATTGTGATTAACAGTGCAATTTTATGTTGTGTCTAATGCAATTGAAATGCAGCAGACTGTTCCCAACAGAGGTGGCCTTAACGCTGACTCCATGATCCTTGGACATGCATTACCCCATTCATTTCTGCATCAGATTTGGTAACTCTGCAGTGCTGGGGTTTGTTGGATGAGGTTGTTAATGGTTTGAAGGTTTTCTTATGGGTTAGTTCTCTGTCAGATCAGAGAGTTAAACTTGCAATGTGGACAGGTAATCACTAAATGCTGTGTGCAAAAAGAGTGATAAAAGCATATGGCTGGAGGTGGGGGGCAAGCAGAACAGCCATTTTCGCAGCCTTTAAACCAGATAGAACAGGTTTATCCTGAAACCACATACCTATATCTTTGTGATAGAACCTGATCTGTAGGAACTTCACTCTGAGGAACACAGTTATCCCACTGTGTTACCCAATACCATTAGGAAATTATGATTAATACTGGGTCAGAGCTATGAGAAAGGTAAATTCAGTATTTTAGGGCATTAGCTCCAAGGCTAAGGTTGGAGATGTCAGGATTCATCTGTCATTTTCTGTATGTGCTTCAGCATGTGATACTGGAGTAAGTAACATAAGAATAGCATTTGATTAAACAGAAGATTTTTTTGAAAGAAACTTTCCTTTCACAATAATAATTATTTTTTAAGTTTGCATTTATGTCAAGTGCTAAAATGTTGTAATTTTGACTTTTGCAAGTATCATTCAGTTTATACTAGTAAGAGCTTGATTTTAAAACTACCCATGGTTCCAAAGGTAAAACAGTATGTATCTGTGGTGTGCTGCCACCTCTGCTTGAGACTAGGAGGTCACTAGCACATATTGATTTTCCAAATGCTGTAAGATTTATTTAGTTACATATCTGGACTTGCCCCGCTGCTGTATACAGAATCATTTATGCATGATGTGCACAAAACAACAAGGGGAAAAAGCAGTTTGACTGAATGGATGTTAAGAATGAGGAAGACCTGGAATGTTTTTCCCTTGATGCTTCACCTGATAGAAAGGGAGCATTCTAGCTGCAAGGAGAAATTGTGAATTGGGATGGTCAAATGCAAGCAACAGGAGTATAATTTCATGTCTCATCTGAATCCAGATGATGGTCATAGTTCTGAGCATAAAACACAGATGTTCTGATATGTTCTTTCAAAGTCTGCATAGCACTGCAAAGGAGTAAATTCAGAAGTGTTGACCAAACATCACGATATTCTGCTAGGCACATAACTGAACACTGGAAAAGTAACCTACTGGTTGCAGAAGCCCCTACCACCTCCCAAGCCTCAGCTGTATGAGA